GATGAGCAAACATTCACACGCACCCACTCGTGTACCTGAACATACCTCTGCCTCCCAAATGGGTAGAAATAATAATCTTCATTAATTGCTGCAACACCTGTAAATCTCACATCAGCTCCTGGCTAAAAGCAGGTTAGAGAACATGGCTTCGGACTCCAGCAGGGTCTGGAACTTATCCAATGTGGGTAACTCATTCTGTAGTCCTAGTATACAGAAGGCTGAGGCTAAAGGATCGCCAAGAATTTGGCTCCACCTCTTACCAAATGCCTGGACTATATAGCATGACTTTGTCACCTACAAGCCAATGAGAGCTCCAGAACTGCTCCCTTTACTGACCCAGACAGGTGGAAGATGCGGACAGAACAGTGGGGGTACCAGTGGTTAGCGCCATTATTCTTTTGTTCCCAGTGTGGAACCTTAGCAGAAAGGGCAACAAAAATGTTCTCTTAAGACTAATCAGGACCGTCGATTCCTGCACCAGCCCATCTGGGCTGAAGTTCCAGTTTCGGAGTTTTCAGAAATATCCCTGGATCTTCCCAGCAATTTCTGCACACAGCGCCCCCTCCCTTTACTTGTGAGGGTTTCAATCTCTATAAACAAAGAGGACAAATATGTCAAGCAGGCTCACTCTCAGATAGAGCACCAAGGGAGGAACGCCTGCAGACTGTGATATCCACGGACACACGGGCAACACGGAAGGAAAACAAAGAGAGCCATGGAAACACTAAGGGAAAAAGACATCTGGAGCCCCGAGGGAGGAGCAGCTCACCAGGAGGAGCTGAAGTCCTGAGTGTGTACAAGAAGTCCAGGGAGGTAATGGGCTCTGAGGTTCCCACTGGGAGAGCATCATCGGCCTCTGGGTCAGAAGTCCAAATGAACCATGAGGTAGTAAGACTGCCACCGTGAGGGGCATGAAGTCAGTGAGGGGAGGAGGGTGAAGGGTACTGAAGATATTTGGCAGAAGGGAGAGAGAAGAAGGAAGGGAGAGGAAGGAGCAAGAGAAGAGTAGCTGGGCAGGGCGGAGACGGGGAGTTTCTGGACATGTTAGAAATTTAGGGAGGAGTGCTCTGGGGAGATGAGCTGCTCAGAGTCTCCATGGAGACAGCTGGAAGGACTGATTCAGCCATTAGGGCTGAGAGGAGAAGGAGGAGGCTGTGGCTCTCTCCTTCTGAGCACAGCTGAAACCCTGTGTGTTCTGGACTAAAACGCCTTTAACCTATTTTCATTTTACCACTCTGAGCCACAGTGGGGGCGGGACGTTATCCTGGGAATCCCCTGAGCAATACTCTAGGCTTGCAAACTAGACAAATTACTCAAACACTCAAGGCAGTTTCTTTGTCTGTGTTAATTTGCCAGAGGTGGGTGGAGGGTACAGAAGGGAAACTTAGGGCTTCCCTTCTCCTTCCCCCCATCTTTCTCTCTCTCCTCCTTCTCCTCTCTTCTCCTTCTTTTGATTTTTTTTTAAGGCTAAGTATTTCTATGTACTCTGGCTACCCTGGAACTCACCACGTAGCCTAGAGTGACCTTGACTTCAATTTGTAGACCAGGCTGGCCTTCAAACTCCAACTCCTACGTTAATCTCCCAAGTGCTGGGATTATAGCCATGTGCTATTATACCCGACTTGTAGGATTTCTTGGCACTTTAAAGATGTTTTTGTCAGTTTTCAGCTTATAATATAGCTTTTCTGTATGTCCTTTCAAAACAATCATTAGGTCCACTAAATAGAAACTTGAGGTTTTCATCAGATGAAGAAATGCTCTTCTATGATATCCTGATCATTTGTTCTTCTGTTCTCTGGATACCCCACTGCAAGCCATGAATCGGGTGATTCTTCCTGTTTCTAGGCCCGATTTTGGCATCTTGTGCTACTCAAACCTCTGCTGATCTCTGGATTTGCTTTGACTCTCATGATTTTGGTTAACAAATTTGTTTTGTCCTCTGCTTCCCTTTTTCACTGCACCTGCTTCATTTATGAAAACCCCTTTTGATCTTTTTCTGTTGACCTAGCAGTGGCACATGAATCTACTGATATTGTAATTTTTGTTTGGCGCCCCACGGCCCACAGTCTACTCCCTGCTGGCCTTGGAGGGCCTTCTGGAGCCGGCCGATTCTACCGCAGCTGCAATATGCAATGTGTAGGTTTAAACTAAGTCTCTATCATCCTATTTACCAACAAAAACTCAGAAGTCAGATGTGGGGGTGAAAACCTGTTCGATCAGAGAAGCCAAGAAGCAAGCAGATGACCTTGCTTGCATTCTGGCTGGAGGCCCAGCAAGCGACGATGTGCCACTCATGCCAAAACCAAAGATCAAACTCAAGTCCCTGCTCCTTTCTTCCTTGCATCTTCTCTGGCCAGTTCTGGTCAGTAAGTCACTAGCTTCTGCCCTGATTCAAGGCAAGCTTTATTTAACAGTCTTGGAGTGTCACAGTGTGATTAAATTCCCACTGCACCCTTTCCTTGGAGATTTCAGGAATTTCCTCTGCAGTAGTAATTTAATGCTTTTTATATTTATTTATTTATGGTATAATGATCTGTTCTGTCTCTTTAAGACACAAGCCACGCCCCCAGACAGGCAGATCTTTCTTCCTGCTTGCAGCCTGAGTCTCTTCCTTTTCTGTCTCCCTCTCAAAGAGGCTATTTTGGTCTCTCCCTTCTCTCTCTCTCTCTCTCTCTCTCTCTCTCTCTCTCTCTCTCTCTCTGCTCTTCTCCTACTTCTCTCCATACTTCCATAACCCACTAAATAAATATCCAACCTCACTCTGCATGGCGTGCCTATCCATGTCTCTGTCTCTCAGCCGCCTTTGGAGACCTGCCGCCTGGTCTCATGCATCGTCCCTGTCTGGGACTGGCTGCTTACAGGGACCCCTGCTGCCACCACATGGCCCACTGACTGTCACCACTCAGAGACCTGCAGCGTTTCTGCCACCACAGTTACTCAGGGATCCTGCAGCATTTTATTTTTACCATTACAATAGGGTCTTTGTAGCCCAGGCTTACCTCAAAAGTCATTATGTAGCCCAGACTGTTTTTTTTTTTTCTGGTGGTGCTCTGGCTCCAGTTTTCTCTAGCTGGTGATCTCACCATCCCGCCCGTTTTTTGCACCCTATCCTCGCCCAGGCATGGAATGCAGTTCTTTCTTCTAGCTGCCCAAACAGCACTGGTCCCATCCACGTTTGGTGGCACACTTTGCTGAGGCAGAGGTGGGGAAGGTGAGGCTTCCTAGTCCTCTAGACAGAATCAGCTTGTTCCCAGCAGGCCTCTGCCCTCACCCCCCACTCCCTTTCCTCAATTTCCAGGTCTTCTTTGTTATTTTGGTGAATAAGCTAAGTCAAAAACAGTGTGCAATCCCGTCCTCCAGTTTCAAGGACTCAGACGGCTTCTGCCTCTAAAAAGCAGTATTCTTAGCAGTGGAAAATAGGCTTCGCAAGTTTTTCCAGTTTCCTCCATTAAACTGCTAGGGAACAGTTGTATAATGGGGGACCCGGTTTGTTATTTCTGGCTGCTAATTCTCCCCACCTGCCTAGCCTTCCTCAGGAGAAACTAAGCTGCTTTCTTTTTCCTTTGTCTTTTTGCCTCTGGTTAGTTTATTTGAGGCATCGTGTAGCTCAGGATGGCCGGGAACTTGACTCATAGCCAAGGATGACCTTGTCCAGACCTTCCTGCCCCCACCTCTCCGGTGCTGGGATTCTGCGTCCCTGGGGCCTTGCTGACTGATTGCTCTTGATCCTAAGCAGCTGCAGGTTGTTTTTGCTGAGGACAGACCGCCCACAGTCCTGCAGGGCAGGACTCGGTTCCTGCAATGGCTTCCTGCTTCCTTTTTTATTTCTTCTTCCTCTTCCTCCTCTTCCTTCTTCTTTTCTGTTTTTGAGATAAAGTCTTGCTTTGTAGGTAGGGTTGGCCTGAATCACAGGATCCCCTACCTCAGCCTCTCAAGAACGGGCATTCCAGACAGACACATTAACCTGTTCAGCTCCAGGTTTCTCTGTAAAAGTGAAACTCCAGTGGGGTGTGGTGTTGCACACCTGGAATCCCAGCCCTTGACAGGAACCTAGTCTCTCTTTGTGTACAGTGGCAACAGGATTGTCACAATTTCAAGGCCAGCCTGGTGCGTGCAGAGTGCGGAGAGTTCTAGTCCAGCCTGGTGTGTGTAGAGTTCCAGGCTAGTCTTTTGAGAGTTTCTAGTCCAGCCTGGTATACAGAGAGTTCTAGGCCAGCCAGGGATACACATAGAGAGATCCTGTCTCAAAGATATATATATTGAATATGAATGAATGAATATGAAACTTCCAGCAATAAAATCTGGACTCCTGAGCTTGCTACTCTAACTGAGTCCTAGCACTTTTCTCAGACTCTCAAATGCCAGAGCCAGGGTTGTGTAACAGGCTTAGCTCCCACTCTCGCTTTTATCCCCCTGATCTGGATCCAGTTTTGTGAAGCGTTTGCTTCTCATCCCTCATCCCACATTTCTCAATCCTTAGCTCTCATTTCTCAACCCTCACAGTTGACCCTCCACCTTTCATACCTTATCAGTCCTCGCCCATATCTTATCCCTCACCTTCATTCCTTGTCTGTCCCTCATTCCTCTAGGTGGTAGTTCACTGGGAGTGTCCTTGTTATTGCTTTAGTGCTGATAAACCAATCCCCAAATTCAGCCAGTGTGCAGTTGGCCAACGTCAGTGTTACAGAAGTTCACACCGAAACACTGCAAAACAAAAATTTTGGTTTTCTTTCTTTTTTTTTTTTTTTTAAATCTTATACCTGGGTCAAACTTACAATCTTCTTGAGATTAGGACAATGAAGTGGTCTTGACCAAAGGGAAGGGGGGTCTTTTATAGCAAGAAGACTATAAAAGTGGATTTTGCAGTTAGCAGCTTTTTTGCTTGTTTTTTTTTTTCCATTTATTTATTTATTTATCAAAGATTTCTGCCTCCTCCCCGCCACTGCCTCCATATCCCTCCCCCTCCCCCGATCAAGTCCCCCTCCCTTGAGACAGGATTTCTTTATGTGGCCTTGTCTGTCCTGAAACTAGCTCCGTAGACCAGGCTGGACTTGAACTCACAGAGATCCACCAGGCTCTGCCTCCTGAGCGCTGGAGTTGAAGGCATGCACAGTCAGTTATGAGAAAAGCACATGTTGTGGGTTTATAGTCAGTCATAATGGAAACAACTTATAATGTACAGGTCACAAGATTATAGAGGAAGAAGAAGTTTCAAAAACAAGCAGACTTGCAGTTTAACTTTCACCCTGGGGCAATGATTAAAGCAGACACCATAGGGAACGATAGAGAAATAAATCAAAATTTGACTAAAGGAAAAATGGAATCAGCTGTTCCTTGACATCCAGGTAGCTACAAATGCCAGGTGCTGAAAGCCAGGGGTACTGCAGCGGTCATCTTTTTTGTTTTTGTTGCTAGATGTGGGAAATGGGTTGACAACACCTGTGAAAGTGTGTTGTCCATCTGCTGTTTGGTCAGGGATTCTACTCTTGGATACATTCCCAATATAAATGGTACTTCTGTCCACCAAACATTGTGGATAAAGAGGCTAATATCCAATAATAATGGTCAAAAGCAAGGAATAACCCCAAATATCTAACAGCAGATGAACAGAGAAACAACATGCTGTCTATTTCTAAAACATGGGGCTACCCAACAACGAAGAGAACAAACCATTGATCTGTGTGGCAGCGTTGTAGAGCACCATCGTCACAGTGTGGGGAGAGAAGACGAAAGAGAGGGTGTGCAACTGAGCAAGGAGAGCTGTGTAATTCGAGAGCAGGCATCGTTGCCTGTAGTGCCAGGCTTTGAGGGGTCCTTCTATGGATGGGAGCTGACGAGGAGGGACATATTGACTTCTAGAAATTCTCTGTAACCTAAAAAAATATTTATTTTTAAAATTTATTGTATATGTATATAATACATGTCTCGGTGTGTATAAGTCATAGGTGGGTAAGTGACAATGGAGGCCAGAAGAGGGCGTTGGAGTCACTGCAGCTGGAGTAGTTACAGATGGCTGAAAACCAAACTCAGGTCTTTTGCAGGAGCTGCAAGAACTCTAAACTGCTGAGCCCTTTCTCCAGACCTGCTCCATCTTTTGATGTGGAAGGCAGCTACATGGATGTGCACCTCTATAAAAACAAAAAAAGCAGAAAAGTACACACATGAGATTAGAGAAGCTTTTTATATGGCATTTAAATGGTTATTTTAAAATGCCCCATGGGGCCTTCTATTTGCTCTCTCAGCACTGGGGAGTCTGAAGCTGGAAGAGTGTTGGAGTTTGAGGCCACTCTGGACTACAGAGTGAGACTCTGACTCAAGAAGCTGAAATGGATATAAAAATATAAAAATAGTCACATGACCCTGACTAGAAAAGGGGAAGCAAGAACTTGAAAAACCTTGACTGAGAGAAGAAATGGAAATTTTAGGGCCACACACTGCCTGGAAGAATTCTAAGGTTAAAGTTGCCTCTGCTTTTCATCCTGATGGATATTTCCGTAGCTGGAGCTGCCATTAAAACTACCCTTTTATTTTTGCTGGAGGCTTGCTGTCAGGTTGTCTCCTATGCATCATTTTAAGCACTGTGGTAAATGCAGGAGCAAAGCTGGGTTTCCAGGGCCACCAATCGAATTACGGGGCAATCTAATTAGAGAGCAAGACTCGTAATCTAACCATAAACTTGCAGTCCAATCAGAAATGTACAATGTCATTAGAGAGGCATGATGCACATTAATAAAATATTCAGAGACTCAATATTAGTCTTTTTTTTTTTTTTAATGAAAGTTTGGAGGCTCCCAGGAGTTAGGAGAAAGACTGCTTAGTAATGGAGTATTAGTGATTTCTCTGTTGCTGTTGTCCTGAGACAGGATCTCATTTTGTAGTCTAAGTTACCTGGCTATCCTCTCGCATCAGCCTCCTGAGTGCTAGAATGACCGACGTGGGGCACTGTGGGTATGGAGGACGCCGTGCCATGGAGCACATGGAAGGTCAGAGGGCAACTTTGGGGAGCTGATTCTCACCATCCGCCTTGTCAAGACAGGATCGCTCATTGTTTCTGGGGTTTCACCTCCTGCTCCAGACTAAGGTGGCCCAAGAGGTTCAGGGACATTTACTTTCCTATCTCCACCTCCCAACTCACAGGAGCAATGGGCTATGGAATGAAGCTTTTGATATGGGTCCTAGGATCTGGACTCAGTTTACCAGGCGTGTGGAACAAGTGCTTTTACTCAGTGACCCATCTCCCTGGCCATTGTTCTGTTTTGGTATTAATTAATTAGCTAATTTGCTTATCGAGACAAGGTTTTACTATGGCCTCTTGTCCGGGCTTTTGCATTTATTTATTTAGACAATGTTTTACTCCATAGTCCAGGATGGCCTAGTACTCATGTAGCCCAGCTGGCTTCAAGTGCATGGTAATTGTCCTACCTAGGCCTCCAAAGCGCTGGGAATTACAAACAGGAGCCACCATGCTGGGCCAGTTGATTTCAATGAGAGCACCTGAGCTGGATTTTTAAAACTAAAATGGGAGACACGATACCAGATATTTCTTGGCACTATTACATTTGTTGAAATGACCATAAAACAAACACCTTTTCAAGAACTGAAACAAGGATATTTGTCAAATGGGGGAAGTAGACTGGTGAGAAATAGAGGTGTCTCATAAGATCTCAGCTTGGGCTCTAAGCCCTAGGTACTAGCAAGATAGAAGTATACCGACAGAGCATCAAGCAGATCAGAAGGCACTGAGCCTAGAACTAAATTCTACGTCCAGATCCTTCCTTTGTATAAAGGAAATATTGACATTTTTCCTGATACAACTAAAAGTGTTTACAGTAGACTGATTCACTTCCAGAGAAGTACAACATTCAGGAGAAAGGTAAAGTTCTCCTTAGGGTTTTCTGTTAGACCACATTTTCATATCTACAACACACACGCACACTTACACGCATGTATGCATGCACACACCCTTGCGCTGCCCTGGCAGAGAATTCAGTTTATCTAACTTCCTAAACTCTTTGCTTGCGTCTAATTGGTGGAGCTGAGAGAGAGAGAGGAGAGAGGCAGTGTAGTTGGCAGAGACACAAAGATGAACAAAAGTCATAGCAGCTTGCTCAGCTTCCATGTCTCCGGAGGAACTTATAACTTCCCTCTTTTACTCTGGTAATTGTTTTTAGAAAGACTTCCCGGCCACAAGAAAATCAAATCAAATTTCTAATCAAGCAAATTAAAATTTCCAGGCTGCCTCGCTGCTGGCTGTAAACATCATTTAAAAGAAAATCTGAACCTGAGCCTTTTGACATTCCCTGACCAGCTGCTCAGATGCTGTGACCCTTTTCTACTCAGAAGGGAGTAAAGGTATGCTTTATATTTTTATACTGTTCAGTTAAGGATATCTGTTCTATCTATATCTATATTTATATCTATATCTATACTGTATCTATATCTATATGGCAGTTGCTTATTGAGATGGCCTAAGCTGGCCTCAAACCCCATGTAGCCAAGGATTACCTTGAATTTCTGATCCCCCTGCCGCCATTTCCTGAGTTCTGGGATTACAGGTACACATTACCACAGCAAGTTTAAGGGTTTACAGTTTTAGTAGTTTGTCTGTGACTAGGAAGAAGAACTGAGAGTTCTTGGTGGCAGAGTTGATGATACAAAAATTATCATTAAAGATACAGCAGCGTCTACCTCAGGAACAGCAGGTAGGCAACTAACCGAGGTACTTACTCAAAGAGCTTGCCTCGCGTCTCCACCTTGCCTGCTCTTGCCACTGTCTTCTGGAGCCCACTCTCTGCAATCCACGTGCTCTCCACGGTCCTCTGTCAGCAGCCACTCTCTGGCACATGTATTACTTTCAGTCAGCCGCCGTCTGATCTTCCTGGCTCCAGACAGCTCCTTCTGCGGCTGTGTAAATATTTTCTGCTTTGCTCGGGAGCGCAGTGAGTGTCACAGCCAAGAGAGATACTGACCTACAAGGCTTCCAGGGCTTTGAGAACTCAGGGTCTGGACCTGAGGGTGTTCTGGTCTAGGAGGTAAATTGAATTCATGGATTCAAAGAGGATAGGAGGACTGAGGGTTCTTGGCCAGCTTTGGCTACTGTTTGGGATTCCTGTTATCTAAACAAAACAAAACAAACAAAAATAAAAACAACAGAGTGCAATCAGTCTTAAAACACTGCCAATAAAATGTTGAGTAAGATTTAACAGGATAAGATTTGTCAGAACAATGTGCCACTTGCCCTCTATTTCTGTTGGGGAATATCAAACGCCTTACAAATAATTCTTTAGACTACTCCCTAGCCAGCATTTGGGTACCTTCTGTTAAATCTTTGACTTCTAGAAAGTCAAATGTAACATTTTGTTAAGTTTTGGTTTTTCAAATAAGCATGCAACTGTTGTGAAGATGCCCTGAGGAATGGCATTAGGTTTAAATTGAAGGTTCCTGGGAAGATTGTGTGGGAATCACCTCTGTGGACTATTAGGTGGAATGGTCACCAATTCTTTCAAATAATGTTTATTAAAATTCTTTTGTGTGTCAAGTTGGGGAGGTATCATGCAGACTCACGTATATATATGGCTGTCAGTTTTCTAGGGAATGGAGAAATTAATAAACACAGTTAAAAAGCGAAATGATGATTTTTGATATGTCTCCCCAAGGAAAAGGCCATGGTGTTGTGAGAGGGTCATACCTATAGTGGATTTCACCTCCTCTGGGAAATCTTTCTTGCTGATCATAGACTTGGGGCTAGAGGTTAAGGAGCTAAATATGTGCAAAGGGATCAGAGAATATTCCAGGCACAGGGTTGTGCTTTGAGGAAATGGATGAAGACTAGACGTCACTAGGAGCAAGACTAGAGACTAAAGTGAACCGATGGGACAGGTACTGGAGGTCAGCAGGTGATGGTGCTTGCTGTCTATCTTGGTGACCTGAGTTTGAGCCACATGGTAGAAAGAAAGACCTGACTGTTGAAAGTTGTCCTCTGACTTCCACATGTGTGCCATGGCACATTCCACATGTCTTTGCAAATATGCACACATACGTGCACGTAAACAATACGATGAGAAATCAAATCAGATGGAGGAAGTGATCAGAATTTTCATGGAGACATCATGGTATATGTGCAACTGAAGTATGGACAATTGTTCAATGTATCTAAGCCAAAAAGTTTATCTAATTTGATATTATTATTATTAGCTATAATTATTATCTATTTATATAATAAACTGAGTGGAAAAACCCAGCAAACCTATCTGCTCTGTATTGGTCTGTTTGTACACATTTCTTTCTTCTGACTTTAACACAGCATCCGTTGTGAAATATAGGTCTTAGGGTCTACTCTCAGAAAACGCAAGCCAACAAACATCTGCTTATTTATTTATTTATTTATTTATTTATTTATTTATTTGGCTTTTTAAAGACAGAGATTCTTCTGGGCTGCCCTGATTGTCCTAGAACTCATTCTGTAGACCAGACTAGCCTCAAACTCAGACATCCACCTGCCTCTGTCTCTTGAGTGCTAGGATTAAAGGTATGCATTACCACCACCTGGATAATAAGTGTCTTTATGGCTAGCTCTAGGACAGAAAGGTAGGGGAAGGTTTGAGTGCTATTTTGTAATTTTTGGTTTGCTTAGGAAAATGGGACTCAGGTTTCTATGGCCTACCTGAAGAAAGAGTCAAAGGTCTTACTGGTCTAGTCTGTGGAGAAGGAAGTGGACAAAGAAGGAAAGATGCTGTGAATCTTCTATCTATCTATCTATCTATCTATCTATCTATCTATCTATCTATCTATCTATCATCTATCTATTCAACCATGTATGTTTGTATGTGAGTATGTATTTATTTATCTATCTAACCATGTATATATGTATGTATCTATCTTCATCACCATTATTCTATCCTATCCTATCCTATCCTATCCTATCCTATCCTATCCTATCCTATCCTATATGTGTCTGTTCATAAGGTGTGCAGGTATGTATACTCTCAAAGGCCAGAAGAGAGCATCAGGTATTTTCTTCTATGTTCTCAGGCTATTCCTTTGAGGCAGGGTCTCTCCTTGAATCCAGGGCTTCTGTCTTCTTGGCATGACTGGAAGTCAGCAAGTCCCAGCAACCATTCTGTCTCTGCCACACTCAGAGCTGAGGTTAACTGGCATATGCGGGAGGCTGTTTTGTTAAATAGATTCTGAGATCTGAACTCCAGTTCGTAGGATTGTGCAGTAAGTTCTGCTTAACCATTAAGCCACTTCCCCATCCCCTACTCCTCATTCTTGAGAGGTAAAAGGGATGGAGATTAATCTTCCTAGACTACTTCTGGGTGGATGGACACTTTGTTGTCCCTCTTAGACTAATATTCCCCTGCTGCTAAAGTGAGATAAATCTTAATATTACAATTAATTCCATAGTCTGAGTTCCTTTTGTAATTGTTTTAGCACAGTAGTTTAAAGCTCATCAAATTCCCATTTTAAACAACTCAGAAAATTTATACTTAATGTCCTGGGAATTCAATTCAAAACATAGGCTGTTGACTTTTTCCAACCTGTACAGATCTCGTCTGCTGGGCCTGGGATCGAGGACCTGAAAGAATGGGGCAGACTACAGCCTAATGCTGTAGACACCCTTACTTCAGTTTCAATGCATTTTTTTATACACGGATGTAACAAAGGAAGAGGTGATCCAAGAAAGTGTGTTTGAGTTCAAACACCTTATCGGAAAAACATGCTAACAAACGCCAGTAAACACATACTAAATATTAACAGAGCAGCCCTTTCTCAGAACTATCTCAGGACAGATCAATTGCCTGGCACTTACTATAAATTCTTTCTGGGGAAACACAAAAGCAAGGCAGAAGGCCAGATCCAGATTCAGGGTACCCTGTCCAGATCTTGGGTTCTATAGTTACGTTTTGACACCCAACCAGAAAAACGTGTCTTCTAAACTGAATGTAGGTATTAGCTGCAGGAAGCACGCAACCACGTCTAAGAACAATGTGGGGGACAAAATGCACCTGAGCTGTAAGGTCTTCTGAGTGTTTTCCTGAAGCGTCTGTCATCGGTCTCCAAGACATTGTTCACCATGCATCATTCTTTTGACTGTGTTCCAACATAGGCAAACAGACCAACTGAGAGAAGAAAGCCAAAGGAGAATTTATTTTTGTGTCTTCTGATATAATCTGATACAAATGTGATTGTAGGGTCTAACTACAAAGAACAGAATCAGCCAGAAGGTTAAAACCACGTAAACAGACCAACAGGCTGCGTGGCGATACTTACTGTCTTACTCTTGTTTTCATGTGGGCTTTGGTCCCTGTTTATCGGGCTAAGTGTTCTTAGATTCACTTGCGTCTATTTAAAAAACTTAACAACAAATTTTGGGATGCAAGATAATGGGTTTCCTCCTGGCGTTTTCATACAAATAGTTGGTTCTCATTTGCTTTCTTGACACATTATGGGTGTGTGCTGCCAGGCCTTTAAGAAGACAAATGTGTGTTGGTTAATTACAACACACCAGGGGCATCCTAGCTAGGAATCCATTTTCAACTTGCCTCCTGGTCAGTATCTGTGAGACTGCCCTTAAGGCATGAAAAAGTCCAAGTGGCCATCTAAGAAAGGCATGAAAACCATCCCAGTTCCTAGATAGCCTCACAAAGACCCACTTACAACACACCTATCTGGATCTTGTGAGGAGGCTAGCTTTCAAGTCCCAAGACCTTGAGGTCAAGTTCCAATTTTAGCCTTGTAGCTAGAATACCATTGCCTGTTGTTCTAATCCACCCAGTCCTTGGGTACTCTGTCATCAATACTGTTTGCTCACTCAAGGTCCAGCATTGCTCATCGGTTAAGGAGAGATTTCTGACTAGAAGTCTTGGAACATCTTCAAAATTCAGCCAGAAACCCAGTGGCAGGCCCCAGGAAGGATTTTCCTCTTGGGATGAGTTTCTGGCACTGTAAAGGGCTCCCGGACAGATTCTGTTTCCATCTGGAGCTGGGTAGCAGAGGCACGTAGTCCACAAGCAGAACATCCTATCTGGGGATGCCTAAACACTTTGACGGCCTCCCAGTGGTGGTCCCTGCCACTTCGGATTAGAAAACCTGAATGGCTTGTACAAGATTGTTTTTGTGAGAGATGCAAGGTGGAGATCCTGACAAACAAGCAAACTCTTTTTCCTAGTGACTGTCTCTGACGCTGTTTGAGACACTACTTATTCCTACTGATATTCCTCTAAGGCCCTATTAAGAGTATTGAACTGGTTCCTTGAGGGTTTCCAAGTTTGTGGCTCACAGATTTGTTCTCTGGCAGACCTGGTGTGGCTGTTTTTCTTTGGCCCACCCTCTCACAAATAATGGCACAGAGACTTATCATTAATGCTGAGAGTCCAGCCTTAGTTTAGACTTGTTCTTAACTAGTTCTTATGACTTAAATTAACCCATATTTTTAAATCTACATTCTGTTGCGTGGCTCGTTAGCTCGTCTCCATACTGCCCACCCCGCTTCCTCTGAGTCTGACTGGCGACTCCCTGGGCCCATAGAGTCCTTCTCTTCTTCCTCTCTCTTCTCAAAAATTCCGTCTATCCTCTCCTGCCTAGCTATTGGCCATCCAGCTTTTTATTGCAGTAATGACAGCAACACATCTTCACACAGTGTGCAAATACTCAGCAAAAACCTGAGAACAAGGGTCTGGGATAGAGAGCTTATGTGACAAGCAACAGAGTTTTCTTTCTTCTCCATCCTCCTCTTTCTCTCTTTCTCTTCTTCCCCTCTCCTCCCTTCCTTCTGCCCATCTTCTCACTCAGCCTTCCTTCCACACCTGATACGGTGGACATAGGACTGTCCTGTTGTCTGTAGGCATGGTTCTGTATATTTTTAAACGTTACGTCAGATTCTTAAGTGGCTGTTGGTGCCACCGTCCCATCTGGCAATGCTGGAGTGAAGTGTGAGTGTACATGCACATGTACATGGTAGTAAAAATAGCCCAATGGTTTCTGCACCTGTGCATCTTCACCCCATAGGAATAGGCGTGAACAGAGGAAGCGGAACTAAGTAAACTAGCAGAAGTGATCAAACCCAATGTCCTCCCAAAAGAGGGCAAAGTCTCAGCATAAACGAAGAGAGCGAAGAACCGGAGCTAAGGTAAAGGAAGGAATAGCTGGGTTATGTATGTACGAGAGGAAATCCAACATTCTATAAAGAACTCGAGAGAGACTCGGAGGAAGAAAATAGTGTTATATCTTAGTGCAGTTCTGTCAGGATCCCAGAAGGGTAGAATTGTGGATCACGACCACGTTTGCTCTAGGAGCCCAACAAACTGAATGAGAACATGCAAGCCTTAGTGTTCTCATCTTGGAGACATATTCTTATGGGATGCTAGTAGTGGGGCAATGTCTTTTGAACTGCATATCATTTTGCCATAAGTTATCTATGTACAAAAATAATGATGGAGTAACTCCTTTAATTCATATAT